TATCTCCTCCTTTCCTGAACCTGTTTCATATGAAGAAGTGGCCCTTCATGAACTTGTGGATCATAGCATGCTAATACTGGGGTTTTCTTGGAAAGGATATTGTAGTGGTTTGCCATTTTCTTCTCCAGAGGCAAACAGGGTTACACAGCTAGTAAGTGTCTGAGGCCAGATCTGAATTAAGATCTTCCTGACTCCAGGCTCAGCACTTTATCCACTGAGCCATCTAACTGACTTATGTTTGTTGTTTATTGTTCCTCCTTCTTTCTCAAGAGAACCAGTGACGTCTAGAGAGTGATGACTTGAGGGTGAATTGATTGGATTTAAGTGAGGTAGGGCTGTGCAAAGTCAAAAGCCACACTCTCTCCTCTAGAGTTATCAGAGTCCAGTGGCAAGACATAGGTCAAGATGACTGGCGATTTTGACATTTTGGGAGACCATGGCCTTTTAAAGCTAAGGTCTTTCCCAGGTCTAAGTTTATCTGAGTCAAGACCCATTCAGTAATTAAAGGGCTTCATAAGAATTGAGGCAAAAGATGGCCTACTTTGCCTTTACAAAATAATCAGTCTGGGATTAGGGATAGGTGTGTTGTTTACATTAGCACTACAACTAAATTGTGAGTTCCTAAAGTGCATTGACCGTATCTTTAATTTCCTTTGTGTCCTTTTCCCTTTGATTGTCCCCTGTACTTGAACATTTGGGTATGAGGGTTTCCATTTCTTCTTAGGAAAGGTTTGATAGTTCTGAATAAAACCCCCTCCAATGAGGGTTTTGTCTTGATGTGGTTTGGGGTTGCTGGGGACCCCGAAATGTCAGGACACAAGGTGGCGTCTGTCTGGAAAGAATTCATGCACTCAAACCTTCCAGTCAAAGTGGCAAGATTTTTGTATGGCCAGTAGTAGTTCCAGGCGAGATTCTTTGGGAATCTGCAGCTTAATGGGGGTGAGACTGATGCTTATTTAACAAAAAGGACTGTGAAAGGATCTGGATGGGGTTAAGGAGTGGTAAATGGTCTGGGGTGGGCCAAGTACACTAATGAAAGGAATATTAAGTAGTCTGGGGTGGGCCAGGAGAAACAGTGAAAGGATTGTCTCACTGTCAAGTAAGCTAATTAAGTGATCTAGGTGGGCAGGTGTGGACAGATGCCTTAGGTAGAGGTGCCAGTGATCCTGGCTACTGAAATGTATGGGAAAATTCAGGGACTGGGTTGCTTTCAAAGACATGGTCTTTTTCCTTTTAAGGGTCAAGGTCCACTCACCCCATCATCATTCTTAGTGTTCTTTTTGTTCAGAGGTGATGTATAATGTACTGAAGAACATGGCATTACTGGAAATCGTCACATTTGTCATGCCAATGAAATTTCATATTAAATGAAAAAAATGTTGAAAATGCTTTTATTGGCATGATAATGATTTGTAATATGAAACATGTCCAAACTTATTTTACATTACTCACCTATATATACTCTCAAGCAGGGTTCTTATCCAAGGTCTCCTGAACTTTTTTTTGTTTTTAATTTTTTCAAAATATTTATTTTTTAAATATTTTTAAAAACTATATTTCATTATAGTTTTCCTTTGTAATACTATTTATTTTATTTTGTGCATTTAAAATATTATTCTCAGGAGTCTGTAGACTTCACCAGTTTGCCATAGGAGTCCATAACAAAAAAAATGCCAAAAACTCCTACTTAAAAGTATAACCAAAAACATAACTAATATGGAAATAAGTTTTACATGACTTCACACATGTATAATGGCTATCATATAACTTGCTTCTTAATGGGTGGTGGAAGGACTGAAGGAAGGGAGAGAATTTAGAATTCAAAATGTTTAAAAAAGAATGTTTTTAAAAAAGAAAATAAAGTCTGCCCCCTGACTACCACTCCCCTATGCATATTTTCTCCCTCTAATCATTATAATGTAAAGTTCTTAAGGACCAGAACTGTATTTGCTTTTGTATTTGTATCACCAAAGCTTAACCCAGTTCTAAGCAATTAGAATGTAACTAAGAAATACTTTTTAAAAATTAAAAAAAAAAAGTATAGCCAAACTGACGTTTTTGCTGTTCTTCATGACATGTCATTTCTTGTCCTTGTTTCTTCCCCTCAACTGCCCTCTATACCTGCAGTGCACTCCCTGTGTTTCCGTCAAACTTTCGTTAAACTTCTGCTCAAACACCACCTCCTTTCTTTGGTCTTTCCTCATCCACCTCCAGCTCCTAGTTCTTCCCTACCCCTCCAAATTACTTTATGTTTACTTTTCATATATTTTGTATATATTGATGTTGGTGCACGTTATTCCCTTTGATGGAATGTAAACTTCTTGAGAGCAGCTACTGTTTCATTTTTGTCTTCTTTTCCTGTTACTAGCACTCTATCAGGAACATATTGGGCATTTAGTAAATACTTGTTGATTAATTAACCATCTAGTTCTACCCCCTTGCTTTACAGATAAGGAAACTGAAGTCCACTGAGATTAAAATTACTTCCCTAATTTTAAAGGTAGTAATCATCCTTATATGCACAACTACTATAGGCAAAACCATTGGGTTTTTTTTTGTTTGTTTGTTTTAAATCACTTTGGATTTAAAAGTACAAGTAAAGCCCTAGGGCTTTCATTTGTAGAGGCATGTCTACTACATCACCTGATGGACTTAAATAGAAAATTAAGCCCTTAAAAATTCAAGACAGCTGCAAGATTTTGTCTTTGAGAAGGCCAAATCCAAAATAGCATCTGAAAATGTTGCTCTTAATCTCTTTCAGAGATTAACATTTTGCCCTATACTAACACAGACTGAATTTATAAGTTGGAGACTTTACTGGTAACATAACTAGGAGACTTTGAATAGAAATTATTACAGGAAATGAGTATTTCTCAGTCTCAAACATTTTTATCTTAGTATTTTATAAACTGTCAAATTATTTCAACTTCAGTATTATATATATGTTGGTAGAAATGTAGAATGGAAAATTAAACTGGCCAAATTTAGATATCCATATGAAGTGTTTCTTTGCTAAGTAATGCCTTAGTTTTGTATCAAAACAATACATTTCAGCTACAAAATACACCCAGATCAAATGAAATCAGTACTACATAACTAATACCTTCATCTCTGCTTTTTCTTTTTTTCTTTTTTTTTTTGCAATTAGGGTTAAGTGACTTGCCCAGGGTCACACAGCTAGTACGTGTCAAGTGTTTGGTCTGAGGTCAGATTTGAACTCGGGTCCTCCTGATTTCAGGGCTGGTGCTCTATCCACTGCGCTACCTAGCTGCCCCTTTCATCTCTACTTTTAAGAACTCAGTGGACTGCTTCATAATAAATCCAAAGTCTTTAAAGATAATCTAATTCTTATGCAAATTAAACAACTTTGAGGTACCACCTCACACCTATCAGGTTGGCTAATATGATAAAGGAAAATGATAAAATGTTGGAGGAAATGTGGGAAAATTGGGACACTGAAACACTGATGGTAGAGTTGTGGACTGATCCAGCCATTCTGGAGAGCAATTTGGAACTATGGCCAAAAGGCTAAAAAAAAGAAAGTTGAAGATAGTAAGACAGCATCTTGCTGCCTTTGATCATTTTAGGTTACCAGACCCAGATAATCATCTCAGGGTACCCAAATGAACTGGCAAATGTAATTGCTAAGGCATTGTTGATTATTATTATTTATTTTTTTTTTGTGGAAAAATGAGAGAGGTATTACAAGACAGAAAAAGGTTATGTGTTCCAGTTTAGTTTTTTAAAGGTAAAAAATATAATCTGAAAACAATAGGTCAGTGAGCTTGACTTTGATTTTTGGCTCACGGGATTGTATTAAAGTGATAGCTTATGAATATTTTGAGATACGGTATGTAAAACACTTTGTAAACGTAAAAGTACTATATACATTCCACCTACCTCGTTTATTTATTTTTATAAAGGAAGGGAAGTTGTAATAAACCAGAGAGGCTTTTACTCAAGAAGTGGTCATACCAGATTAACGTAATTTTCCTTTTTTGATAGTGTTACTTGATGATAGCGCAAGGGTGCGAGGGATTTGAAAGTAGACAGTATTGTAAAGTCGGACTGGTTAATCAAAGGGTCAAGATAGGGAAGGGAGAAGAGTATAGGAAGTCCAGCTGTGATGGCCTGTGAATGTGAACTTAGGGGTGGAGAGAATGGAGGTCATGGTAAAGACTCGAAAGAGGGTTAGGGAAGATGAAATGATAAAAGATTGTTTATTGTGATTCACTAAACCTTTTTTAAATAGGGGTTCCTTATAAGTAAGGGCTTTTCTTTTTGTTTTACACTGACAGATGTGTATTAGTGAACAGAAAAATACTCAAATGTCAAACAGCCTAAGGATAGAGGAGGACCAAAGAGCAAAAATAAGCCACATATTTTGTAAATAACATGTTGGTAATCAAGAGTGTCTTATGATTAAAGTGAAATGTTTTATTTTACCATGTAATAGTTTAAATATATTTAGGTAGTTGTAGACTTTAAGCAATGTAATTTTCTTATTTTTTCATTTTTAGACATGGAGGGATTTTTAATGAAACTTTGATAGTTCAACAAAGGATGCTCTAATGGATGACAGAGAAACTCCTACAAGTGACCTACAGTTAGAACCACAAGATGGATGTCACACCGATGACAGCATGGAAGATACACGACTGGGTTTGCCTTCTATATCCGATGAAAATGAAAATCAGTTTGATGGGAATGTGTGTGAAGCTGTGACCGGCAGTGACAATGAGATGGGAAACCATGAAAAGTTTGAACAGGACAATCTCAACAATAATGAAAGCTGCAGCAACTGTGATAACTTTGTTACCCCAAGCTGTGAAGCTGTGGCAAGTGATCATTCTGAAAAAAAGCACCCTGAGGACCCCATGGATGAAAAGCCCCTCCTCGGAAAGGAGAAAAAAACTCTTGGGAAAAAAACCTCAAGAAGCAAAAAGGGAATGATTACAAAGTCAACACCAGGTACTTCAAACAAAATCCTTTTTAAAAATTACTTTGTATTCTTTGAACAAACTCCCTCAAAATCCTTCTTCCATTTTCTCTTTGGTGTGTCGCTGTTGTCTTGTATTCCAATGTGATCTTTAACCAACCATCTTCTGTCGGGTATAACATAAAATTTATACTTAAATCATAGAATCTTAAAATTGGAGGGAACCATAGGAATAATTTAAACCAACCCTTTACCTGTGGTATGAATCTCTTCCGCAACAGCTTCTCTGACAGACATCACATTATCATGTTAACTTTCAGTTTCTTTCTTCTGTTAATTTATGAGGTGCTGTTCAATAGCTGTTCCTTTAAGGTCTCACATTCTCTTTGCTGCTTATGTCCCCAAAGTAGGTATTACTCTAGATTAAAATGATTTCCCAAACTTCATGGTAGCTTTAGAATATAGGTTCTTAACCTGCAACCCATGGATCCCTCAAGGATCCATGTATAGATTTAGGAAGTTCTGTGAACTCAGAGGGAAAAAAAAATTATCATCTTCATTTTCACCAACCCCCTAATTGAAATAGTGTTTCTTTCAATTATAAATGCAGGTAACAAGGGATCCCTAAGACATCCCTTAAGTTTCACCAGATTGCCAAATAAGTCCATTAACAGAAAAAGTTTTAAGAAGCCCTGCTCTAGAATAAGCTTACTCTCCAAAGGAGGGATACAAACACAGTTCACAATGAACTGACCAAGATTCTCAGGGATGCTTTTGTTGATCTATCCTCCCCACCTAAGTACCAGGAGTGGGGAACATGCTGCCTCTAGGCCAACATGAGGCCTTGAGGATTTAGTCAAAGAGCCTCACTTGAGCCACATGTGGCCTCGAGGCTGCAGGTTCCTTCCCCACCCCTGGACTATGCATGGGTATCCTGAATAGCATTCCAGTCAGTTGTGTTTTTAATTTTTTTCTATTATCTTAATCTACATAATAAAGTAATGTCAAACCCACTTTGAATTACATTTCAATATGTCCATTTTGCATTCTGTTTTTGCATTATCTAGCAAAATTGACTAGCATAGTTGGGGCTGCTTACCCTTAAATGAAATGTCAGCTGTCAGAACTTAGATCTAGGATTCCTTTATCTGGCTTGTGAAGTGTGCAATGGAAAAGGTAATGACCAGCCATTTAAGAGTAGGAATGTGTGGGGCTAGGGAACTCTGGTACATCTGAGGCAGGGATTTTTAGCTTCACTTTGCAGGGCCCTAGGTGTTAGACTTGGCCTAGACCTGTGATGAAGGGAGAAGAGTTGTTACCTCTCATCTTCCTTTCCTGTGCCTTGATTGTTTTCCTCACTGACTGATTAGAAGTTTATTCCAGTACCTCAATTATCTTAGATTTCATCAGCATAGATTCTCCCTGAAGGGAGTTCTACTCCTGTCTGACTTAGCAATCTGTCTTCATGAGTTGCTGCTGCCAAAAAATTTCAGTGATTTGCTGACCAACAGTCTGATGGCCAGTCATATTTAGGTGGGTAGATATACATTCCATTGCAGGGCTTTTCCTCAAAGCCTTTCCAGGTTACTAGTATCTGCTGGAGCTTAGGCTCTGCTATCGCAGCCTTTTCACTGCCATAGCATGATAAGGTCTTAGAGAAGGACTCTACTTAAAGAAAGAGGATGGTCTTTGTTGGTAATGGATTATTTTTGTTTAGGGGTTAAAAATCTTTATTTTTCATAGATTTACTTAATTTGTTAATATAAATGCTTGATAAATTGTTAATTGGTAAAGATTTTTTTAACTTTTAACTTTAACCCATATTTTGAGGCAACTTGGTGAAATAGAATGCTAGACTTCGAGCCAGCAAGAGCTGGCTTTGAATCAGGCCCCAACTATTTTCTGGCATGTGTCTATAGATGTAATTTTATCTGAGCCTCAGTTTTCCTCATCTGTAAAGTGGGGATAAGAATAACATCTCCATTGCCAGATTGTTGTGAGAAATAAATGAAATGATTTTTATGTTTTCCAAATCTTGAAATACTCTATAAATGAATGCTGCTATTCTCGTTTTCTTCTCATCATTTTTGAGGAGGTTAAAGTGAATTTGAACAAGTCATTCTTGCATATTTAAAGTTCTACAGCCAGTTGTTCAAATGGATTAAATAACTGAATTTACAGTTAAGAGTACTGAGATAGAAGCTAATCTTCTGTAGAATTACTATAAACGCCTGCAGGACAACTCCACCATCAGACCAAACAGGACATGAACATGATGAATCTTGTTCCTACTTTATCTTAATACCTTCAGCTGGGTGTCTATATTTTGAAAATTGTTCATTTCATGTAGTTTTAGGACAAGTACTTAATATGACTATATTGAGAGAGAGGGTAGGATTGTGGCTAGGAAACTACTAGAATCACGAAAACTAAGGTTCACATCCTACCCATAGACACTTACTAGCTGTGTGTCCCCGGGCAAATTACTTAAATCTCTGTGCTTCAGTTTTTTTATCTTTAAAATAAGAGACTTGGACTCAAAGATGGGCAACAGTTTTATCTATAATAAGGCTTCAGTTCCATTGTGGCTTATTTGCTGAATTTTCAAGGATATTTTCCAGTTTGTAGTTTGGAGATTTGTTGTCTGATGCATAATTCTAGCCATCAGTACATGGTAAATTTTTACATGCTGCAGTGATATGTTGCAACACTTTCACAACTTGATTGCAAAATCTGAAAGAGTCAGTAAGTCCCAGCTCCTTAAGGATAACCTCCCTTTAATTTCTGGTAGTGATGAGCTGATCCTATATTAGTCCCAAAACACCATCTTTCTTTTGTTCTCTCTTTTTTCCTTTTCTTTCTTTTTTTCTTCCCCTCCCCACTAAATAGTATTTAATTTCTTCCAGTTACATGTAAAGATAGTTTTCAACATTCACTTTTGTAAGATTTTGAGTTCCAAATTTTTTTCTACCTTCCTCCCTCCCCTTCCCCTTCCCTGAGACGGCAAGTAATCTGATATAGGATATACGTGGACAATCATATTAAACATATTTCCACATTAGTCATGTTGTGAAAGAAGAATCAGAACAAAAGGGAAAAACCATGAGAAAAAAAAACAAAAAACACACACACAAAAAAGAGAGAAAATGGTATGCTTCCATCTTCATTCAGACTCCCTAGTTTTTTCTTTGGATGTGGATAGCATTTTCCATCATGAGTCTTTTGGAATTGTCTTAGATCATTGTATTGGATTGGATTGCTGAGAAGAGCCAAGTCTATCAAAGTTGGTCATTGCACAATGTTGCTGTTCTTGGAACTAATTTCCAACTTTACAATAACATCTACTCCCAAATCCTTTGCATCCTTGCCCTATCATGCCAAGTTGCTGTTCTTCTGGTTCTGCTCACTTCACTCAGCATCAGTTCATGTAAGTTTTTCCAGGTTTTTCTGAAATCTGCCTATTCATCATTTCTTATAGTATAATAGTATTCCATTACATCCATATACCTCAACTTGTTCAGCCATTCCCTAGTTGATGGACATCCCCTCAATTTCCAATTCTTGACCTCCACTAAAAGATCTACTATAAATATTTTTGTATGTGTGGGTCCTTTTCCCTTTTTTATGATTTCTTTGGGATACAGACCTAGCAGTGGTATTGCTGGATCAAAAGGTATGCACAATCTGATAGCCCTTTGGGCATAGTTTCAAATTACTCTCCAGAATGGTTGGATCAGTTCACAACTCCATCAACAATGCATTAGTGTTCCAATTTTCCCACATCCCCTCCAACATTTATCATTTTCCTTTTATGTAATATCAGCCTATCTGATAGGTGTAAGGTAGAACCTCAGAGTTGTTTTAATTTGCATTTCTCTAATCAATAGTGATTTAGAGCATTTTTTTCATATGAATATAGGTAACTTTGATTTCTTTATCTCAAAACTGTTCATATCTTTGGCCATTTATCAATTGGAGAATGACTTGCATTCTTTTTGTTGTTGTTGTTGTTAGGCAATGGGGTTAAGTGACTTGCCCAGGGTTACACAGCTAGTAAGTGTTTTTATGTGTCTGGGGTCAGATTTGAACTCAGGTCCTCCTGAATCCAAGGCCAGTGCTCTATCCACTGCACCACCTCGCTGCCCCATGACTTGCATTCTTATAAATTTGACTTAGTTCTATATATTTGAGAAACGAGACCTTCATCAGAGATACTTGCTGTAAAAAAAAAAAAATTCCAGCTAGTCTTGGTTGCATTGGTTTTGTTTGTGCAAAATCTTTTTAATTTAATATAATCAAAGTTACCCATTTTACTCTTGTTTGGTCATAACTTCTTCCCTTCTCCATAGATCTGACAGGTAAACTATTCTTTGCTCTCCTCATTTGCTTATGGTATCACCCTTAATGTCTAAATTATGTGCCCATTTTGACCTTATCTTGGTATATGGTGTAAGATGTTGGTCTGTACCTAGTTGCTGCTATACTGTTTTTCAGTTTTCCTAACAGTTTTTGGCAAATAGTGAGTTCTTATCCCAAAAGCAAAGCTGGGGTCTTTGGGTTTATCAAACATTAGATTACTGTGGTCATTCTACTGTGTCTTATGTACCTAATCTATTCCACTGATCTACCACTATCTCTCAGCCAGTACCAGATAGTTTTGATGATGATCACTTTATATTACAGTTAAGGTCAAATAATTTGTAAGAAAAAAGGCACTATAGATGTTATGATGCTTTTGAGTGGCTTGTAAATAATTACTGAATCAATAATAAATTGCTTTTACATCCCATGAAAATTTCTGGCACATTCTTTTTGTTCCTTAACTAATATATCATTTTCTTGCAAGCTTATAGGTTTTTTTAAATCTTTGTACAGATTTGTAAAGCTGTGTGCATTTCATATAATGTATATAAACACAAAATTGGTATATGTTTGGAGGGGCCACTCATGTTTTTACCTTTTGGTAGACATATAATACATTCTTTTAAGAAAAGTGGGATCAGACTCTTATGAGAGAAGAAACCAATAAAGT